AAACTCATACATGCGCAAGGCATTCACGTGGGGAGTGTGAATAATGCATGAAGGCTGTGCAAGAACCATTGCCCCATGAGAGGTGGTGCTCTGTCATCCAGCCACCTAGGATTCACAGAAGACAATTCAGCAAACACGTTGGTGCGACTGTGTAGGTTTTGACGACAAAATTGAAAGAAAAATAAATGAAGGAAAAGATCTTCGGCCCTTTGGGTGCATGGTTGGGCCATTCTTAGATACACGAATGCGATTGAGATATATACATATATAATTGGTGGAAACTGAAAGTGATGGATCGAATCGATGCTTTATTTTATCTACATAAAGCTAGCAAAGATATGTGCCACTGATCGTGGAACATAATTAATTTAATTTAGCTCAAGGAAAATCGCCACAAATATAAAATAAAGATAATGTTCTTATTTAATTGACTGAAGGAGATTTCAGTATTCTTCTTTCTTAATATCTTTCAGGTCAATATGAGTTGATTTTGTTATTTCAATGAGCACTGGAATCATGTCATCATGTCGGATCGTTAATTTATGATCGTGGACATATGCCGGACCAGCATCATGTTCATGTCACACTAGTAGTCGCTTTCAACCAATATTGTAAATACACATGTGAGATAACATATATATAATTTTATTCCTCGAAAATTATTCTAAAAGAATCTTGATAAAGATAACCCCTTTGATATAATATGCATATACATCTGGTCTTTGTCAATTTGAAGTTTGAAGAGACCAGCCTACACAGAGAGAGCCTTAATATTTTACCATACATTTTCAAGGCTTGTTTAATAGGGATGACTAGACTAGCAACAACCTCTTTATAAAATAAATAATAATAATTTTTTGTTCAGGGCTGACACTGTGAGTAACATCACATGGTGAGCTTATTAATGGGATTTAAACATTAATTAAGCTAGAGACAACCGAGGATCGATTGCTCTGATACCATGCTAATACATTCAAACCATATTTATGTTTTAGCATATGCTAATTAAACCAATCTCATTAATAAATCAACGACAGCTTCACAAACTAACGAATATCAAAATTAAAATATAACATATAATAAGTAAATAGACGGAGCTCCCTCGCATACTCGAATCATGTGTCATTGACATGAAAAAAAACAACAGCAGTCACTGGTTGTAGCCATGTCATTTGATCATAGCAATGATCAGGAAGCTTTATTCTGAAATAGTAATTATAATAGCCTAATAGCCATGGACCACGATGATAAGCATCATAGTCATTCTGCTGGTGCAAAATCATAGTCAGGATAGTCGTCGTCGTCGTCACCGTCCCATTCAGTGCACGCTGCTGGAGCGTAGTCATAGTGGGGAACGTCGTGGTCATCCCCGTCATAAGTACCAATACGAATCTTGTAGCATACAGCAAGGCCATAAACGTCATCTTCATCACCATGCATATAGTTGGAGTAGCATGAGAGGTCGATGAGCTTGAAAATGGGAGCCATGAAGTAGTAATTTTAATGCACTGACTAATTTTGAAGTAGCAAAGAAAATGTTATGGGCTACTAAAATTTAGTTGATGAAGAAGAATGAGAATGAGTGTGAAGAGTAGCAAACTTGGAAGCATGTATATGTAGAGCTTGGAGAGAGCGCGTTGACGTAAGTGTTGCGTTGGAAACGAGGTGCAGATCGGAACCATGCATGCGTTTCATTTCAGATCAATACAGAGAAGCTTCATACCAGTTGATAGTTTTGTAATGTGTATTGCCTTCCACTTGGAGCCTAAAATGACATTTGAATGATTTATTTATTTATTGTGTGACCTGGAAGTCAAAATATATTTTTAAAAACCGATTAAATCTGATGGAGTGTGCAGTTTTCAGTTGTTGATTCTTGACAAACAAACAATCATGCAGCTTGAAACATCATAGGCATATACCTTCCCCCGTCCCTCTTTTTAGAAAATTAAATATCAACTCAAAATAAGAAGGATTTATTAACAATAACCCAGACGTCTTTTCTCATGAATTTTGGGCATGTTTACGTATCAATAATGGGTATTGAATGAAAGGAAATGATTTCCATTCTTGACTTCCCCTGTGTTTACTTGCAATCAGGAATAAAAAAACAAGTGGGTCTCACCTCAAAATCCGTAATCACATTCCCTCAAAACTAGGTATCAGATCAACTAGGGGAGTAGTCGACATGATTCCCATTCCTGTTTTCTCTTAATAACTTCCAAAAAAACCCTTATCACTTTACCATAATTCTAAAATTAATTTGGATTCTAATTCATGCAAATTAGTAAACAATAATAATGAGAATCAATCTCATTCCTTTGCTAATTTCGTATGTTTAGTAAACAGCTTAATGAGAATGATTCTTACCATACCGATTCAATAATTCGCCGATTCCTAAATTCTCTGATTCCTTACTTTCTCCATTACTGATATGTAAACATGCCCTTAGTGCTTATCATACCATTGAAGTAAGCAAATTAATGTGGAGCATGAAACGTGTGCTTCACTCAAATCGGAACCCAATCCAGTTGCTACTAATTGCTATAGATACCACTTTTATTTTTATTTTTCTTTTTCCTTTTGTTCTTTGTGTTTCCACTTTAATTAACTACCACGTTTTTCTTATTAATCACCCTCCATTTTGCTTATATATATATATGTATATATACAGAGAGCTTCCATTGAGGGATTCCTCAAATAAACTTATTTGAGGGACACCTCTTGTAGGGCCCACTCCGGATTGTATTTTATTCCAAACCGTCTATTTTGTAGATACTCATTCAAAGATCATCTCTACAAAAAATCACTTGAATCCGATATCATTTGACCACTCAATTGAGTTATTGAAATTTTAGTACTTTCTTGAAGCACCGTGTTCATTGATTTTGTAAAACACAATTGGATGTCGAACTGGTTTCTGATTTGTCTAATTTTTTGTAAGGATGATCTATGAATGAATATCTAAAAAATGGATGGTTTGGATCATTGAGAAAAAAATTGTAGAGTATTCTAATGGGCGTCCCTCAAATTTGAGGGATCCCTCAACAGAAGGGGACTGTATATATATATATATATATATATATATATATATATATGAGAAATTGACTATAAAGTCGTCCTCCAACTATACCTTGACTTGCATTCTTTCTGTCAACTCTATCAATTTTTGGGTCAAATTTAGGGCTATATTTGTCTTTCCACATACTGGATTCTTCAAGTCTAACAGAGTTGATAGAAAGGACACTTTCTGTAAGTTGAGGCATAGTTAGAGGACGACCATAACTATTTTTGAAGTTTATGGACGAAAATGTAAGTCGAGATATAATTCAGCAGGGACCATTGTTAGATTTTAGCTTATTTTAATAATTGCCATCATTAGAAACCACACAAATAATAATTGGCCGCATATGACTTCATTAAATCAAAGGAGGTACACGTTGATTAATTAGCTCGAAATTCCATAACAAATTTTTTCCAAAGGATCGAACAATCCTAGCAATTAATAGTAGGGGTGGTTGCGGTTCGGTAACCGCGAATTTTTGCTCAAATCGCAAACCGACCGACTATTTGCGGTATGGTGATTTTTGAAACCGCAAACCGACCGCTTTTTGCGGTTTACCGCATTGCGGTAAACCGCATTTGCGGTCGGTTACCGCGAATTAGCGATTTAAAACCTCAAGTTCTCAAGCATTCACAAAAATATAAATTCACAACCTAAATAAATAAATACACAACCTCTCAACTTCTCAAGCATATATAAATTCACAATCTCCTCAACTTCTCAAGCATTCACAACTTAAAGAAAATTAAAGTTACAATTTTAAGCATTCCAATTAAAGTTAAACTTCTTAAGCATTACAATTCCAAATTCTTTAAAGTTACAAACCAAAAGGAAAATGCAAAGCAAAATGAATTAAAGTTACAACTGAAAAGAAAAATATAATTCAAAGTTAATTAAAGTTACAAACTAAAAGAAAAATGCAATGCATCAATGTTACAAACTAAAGTTACAAACTCAAGTGTTGGTGGTGAGTGGATTTGAAGAACATTGTTGTGTTGTTTGAGCACCAATACTATCTATAAATAAAACAACATAGTTTAGTATATTTTATTATAAGAAGATCAAATAAAACAACATAGATTAGCTATACTTTGCGGTTTGCGGTAACCGCAAGTTTTGAAAATCAAATACCGCAACCGCAACCGCAAGTGCGGTTCGGTTCTTCATACCGCAAATGCGGTTCGGTTTACCACGATCGCGGTTTCATTGCGGTAAATAGTCGGTTGGTTTTTGCGGTTTTTCGGTTTTTCGGTTTAAAATGCCACCCCTAATTAATAGTACATTCCTTAATTTATCAAAGCTAAATATTACCACTCTATCAAGAACGTATGCAATTACTAGTCAGTCATGCAGCTGGAGCATAATCATAACCACCATCGTCATCGTCATCGTCATCCCCTTCCATGGCTGCTGCTGCTGCTGGAGCATAGTCATAGTCTGAATCATCGTCATCGCCGTCGCCTTCTATACATGCTGCCAGGGCAAATATATCATCACCGTTGAAGTCGTTGACTCCATCGCCATGCACCTCGCACCATGAGGCACTGATGATCAACTTGGAAAGGGGAAACATTTCCAACAATTTGGAAAGGGGAAAAAGAAAGAAGAAAATAAAACAACTGGAGTTTGGGAAAACGGGAAGGTTTTGATTGGATTTGAATAAGAATGTTTGAGGGTTTACCAGGTATATATAGAGTGGAGAAGTTTGCTGGGCTCGTTTTGCCACAAGTTAGTCGCGTGTTGAGAGTGTGGACTTGTGCTTCAAGGGTGTGCTAGCCTACTGCATGCATGTGAAATGTGCCACTAATATAGCACTAATGTGGTCCAGCTATATACATATATATATATATATATATATGTGTGTGTGTATATATAGATGTACGCACTTAACATACAGATTTTGTATGCACTAATTAGCAAAGATGACCAAAAAAGGAACCATATTGACCTGGCTTTTTTACAGAAATGGAATTTTCTACCGTCCATGTATTGCCACATAAAAGGCATTGCAGCCACTAATTTCAGATGGGCCCTGTGACCGTGAGTGTGACTAAATATCTGCTGAGATGAGATTCTGAAAAAGGTGGGGTTGATGACACTTTTCTCAAAATCGAACACCAACCAATCAAACTTTTGGCTAAGATTTTCGTACGCCAAAACCCAAAGCAATGCACCAAACTAACAAAAACACCACAACCTTAGCCGTCAGCCCCACAAAATGGACAGCACACACCAAATTTTCAGGCCATTAATTCCTGCCGCCTGTGCCAGTTTCCGGCGGCTGAGCACCTCTAAGCTACTGCCCTGCCCACGTCCCAAAGCTTTGAAACACAGACACTTGTCTCTTCAAACAACCCAAAACTCCAAGTGGGCTGTCAGGCTAAGCTTACTGGACCAAAGCCCGCCAAAATCTAAACCAACGGTTGACGTGGATCGGTTAGTGGATTTTTTGTACGAGGATCTTGTCCATCTCTTTGATGATCAGGGAATTGATCGGACAGCTTATGATGAGCGTGTGAAGTTCAGGGACCCAATTACGAAGCATGACACGATAACTGGGTACTTGTTGAACATCTCCTTCTTGAAGATTGTGTTCACGCCTAAGTTCCAATTGCATTGGGTCAAACAGGTAACACGTTTGCTTTCTCTGTTTTTCTTATTTCAGTTACTTTAAAATAATGAAATGATTGGATAATGAGATAAAGATAGATAATTCAATGATCATTTATGCTACATATTCTAGAAGCTGTGATGTTCTTGAAGATTTTATATTGGTTTTAGGATTGTGTTCTGTTGATATTATTGTATAGAACCTGAGTTCTGGTGAATGGGGATTTGAAATTCTGACATCAAAGTAACTTATTGCAATTGTAACTGCACTTCCCTTCATTGAAATGGACTTTATGTAAACCAGCTAAACTTGGATGTGAGTTCTTCTGATATTGTATGATCAGTATATCAGGATTTGAGATCTCATTGATATCTCAAAGCTCCTAATCTTTAAGTTTGCAATGAAGCATTCATGTTGGTATTCACTTGAAGAATGCTGTATATAATGACATATGGGTTATGCCTGTTTTACTGACCAAGTTTCTATAGACAGGACCATATGAAATCACCACAAGGTGGACTATGGTTATGAAGTTCATCCCTCTGCCTTGGAAACCAGAATTGGTCTTCACAGGAACCTCAGTTATGGGCATCAACCCGGAGTCCGGGAAGTTCTGCAGCCATGTGGTAAGACTTACCTGTCTTTTATAACAAGCCAATAGAATGCATTGTTCATGACATGTTTTAGTAATTCACTATCCTTTGATGTGTAGGACTTCTGGGATTCGATAAAGACGAATGACTACTTTTCAGTAGAAGGTTTGTTGGATGTTTTCACGCAGGTACTGATCCATTATTCACTTGCCAAGTTGCCATTATATGATCAGAATCATGTACAGAGATTCTAAGTCCCTTCTTGTATTGTATGTAAAACTCTGCAGCTGCGGTATTACAAAACTCCAGACTTGGAAACACCCAAATATGAGATATTAAAACGAACGGCGAATTACGAGGTGTGTAAGCCTTTCAATGAATGTTGTGTTCATCAAAACTCAAGGCTTATAGACTTTATTACCATGTCTTGATTCTACAGGTGAGAAAGTACTCCCCTTTTATAGTGGTAGAGGGATCTGTGGACAAGCTGTCTGGGTCGGCCGGTTTCAATGATGTTACTGGGTGAGTGCTTTCCCTAGCCAATCATATGTTATTCTTCCCTTTCTTCTCTTGGATGATAAGCATAATGGATTCTGTTTAGGTACATCTTTGGGAAGAACTCCAAAATGGAGAAGATACCAATGACTACCCCTGTCTTCACCGAGGCATCTGATGCTGAATTTTCCCAAGTATCCATCAAAATATGTCTTCCACTGGAGAAGGATATAAGCAGGTGAGGTTCCTTTTTTTGGTTTAGTTCTAAAATATTAAAAGAGGGAAATTAATAGATATGATATGTCAATCCGCATTTATTTATATGTGATGCAGTTAGTAATAAGAAAATACCTGTGGCCAGTTTACCAGATCCCAATCAAGAAACAATTAGGTTAAAAAAGGTGGAAGGAGGCGCTGCTGCAGTTCTGAAGTTCAGTGGAAAGCCTACTGAAGAGATAGTTCGCGAGAAGGAGAAAGTGTTGCGCTCTAATCTTATTAGAGATGGTCTCAAACCTAAGAATGGTTGCTTGCTTGCTCGTTACAATGATCCAGGCCGAACTAAGAGCTTTGTAATGGTATGGTTTTTGTAACCTCAAAGCTCATAATTCTTAGATATCTGTTTTCCTTGAGACCTGACTTCAACCAGTTGGACAGACGTGATAAATAACTTGTGTGAGAATAGGCATAATATAACTTTGGTAAAAAGGATATCTACCCCTTGAAAATTTGAAATTATACTTGAGCATGAAAAAGTTACTGTAAGAAGCACTACTAAGAACACTGGTGTCTGCTGCCTTCAGTACTTGCTGGTTGCATTTTCATTTTGCGCTCTAACTATTGAACTTTGAATTTGTTGTGGGGTTGATTGCATTGTAGAGGAATGAAGTACTGATATGGCTGGAGGAGTTTACATTGGACTAGCATGTTGAACATGGCCGTTCTTCTTCGTTCTAACTCTTCCTGTTGATCATTTTTCTCCACAACTTACGGTAAGAGTTTTTTCTCTTCCCATTACACATTGTTGATTGTTGTAAAGTGTTCCTTTGAGTTGTGAAATCAGATTTACTATCTGCTGCTTTCAAATGTCAAATGTATAGACAAATTCTTGAAACAATGCCCGATCGAATTTGGTCGTTTTCAGAAGTTCCCAATGCAGAATAAAACTCACATCCTGTCCTGGTGGTTTCATTCTGTCCTCAACCATTGTCTTGCCAGTTTTTTTTTTTTTTTTTTAAAAAAGGCATGAGCACCTCTGTCTCTGTGCTTTATGCTTAATGCCTAAGGTCGTGCGCATGTGCAAGTGCAAGTTTGCCAAATGCCAAACCAAGCCAACAAAGTTGGTCGCATTTCCTTTTCAACTATTTGCCTCTGCTGACAACGGATGCTTCGTACTTTATAATCATCAAACAGTTTCTGCTGAAAGCCTTTAATCATCTAAGAACTTTCAATGTTCAAACAATACTGTCTCTGTTAAACTCATGTGTTGATTATGAAACAAGGTGATTATTATTGAAGTTGAATCAGTCAATGCAATGCAATGCAACGCCCTGCTCATGGATGGAATGGAAGAACAGCTTGGCACGTGGACCCCTGACAGACAGACAACATACGTTCGAGAAAGAGACAGACAAAGAGACAAAGAGACAGGACAGAAAAGTTATATCCATGTGAACAACTCATCAACCTCATGGAAATGGTCCCTCAAAATCATAATCAATTATGAACCGTCCCGTCCCATATGCATAAATTACATAATGTAGCTAACATATACTCGAACCAAGTTTAATATACTTTACTCACTCAGGCTTTGTACATTACGCCTCATGACTGCAGTCTGCCGGTGCAATGTGCCTCTCAATTTTAATGTATTTTACCAATACTTAGTTTAGTTGTGATCTCTAATGAGGGATTTGTGATCTAATTAAGAACAGTTTTAGAACATCTTTACTCCGATCATAATGCTGCCATTTTCTTATCAAAATCTTATGACACTTGAAATTTTTATGCTCAAGTTTCTACAATGCCATATTTTCATGGTTAAATTCAATCTCGAATGAGCTACGCATAACCATTCAATTAAAGGGAGATTAAATTTAATTAATTATTCATATTCACAAATATATCACAATAAAATTTGGTTCAGGTTGTCGACTTGTAGTTGATGACATATACTCAGAATTTTGACTAATTAAAAGTCTATCAAATTTATCAACAAAAGCTGCTTTGTCTTGTCCGGATTTTTTATAAGTCCTAGAATTTGTTGGTGACATTCACTAAAATTAATAACCAAAAGCAAATTAAATTACAAATTAAAAAATGCAAAATGAAAATTCGGAAAAAGGACTTTTCCAGCACACAGACGACAAATTAAGGAAATTTCTTAATGGGAGAAAAATAAAAAAAATAAAAAAATCCAGGGGAGTAAAACTTGATAAGAAGAAGGAAAAAAAAAAAAAAACATGATAAGAAGGTCTGGAAAGTCAAAGAGGCAGCTTGCGCCGCTTTGTGAACGCCGAACGCGTACTCTTCGCTGCTTTCATGGCTTTCCCTTGCCTTGTCGTCCTCAGCTCCTATTTAAACTGAATTAAATATATATAATACCAACCTCAACCTCTCCTCACGCACTCATTATCCTAATTTTAGTTTAATTTGCAATTTTCATTTCAAATTGGTACTTTATTTATTACCGTTTGCACCTTGCACGTTCTCTCTCTCTCTCTCTCTCTCTCTCTCTCTCCTCCCTCCCTCTCTGCCTATAGATTTCTCTCTCTTTTGTTCTCCCTTTCTCTTTGGCTTCTGTAGCGACATTCTGAGATCTGGTGGTGGGATCTGACGATTAAAGGTGAGTTTTTTGTTCTGGGTTTTGCCGCATTATGGGACTCGCGGCTTTCTTACGCATGAATATTTGGTCTGTGATCGTTTTATGCATGCTTTTTGCTGTGAAATTTTGTTGGAATCTCTGAAAAGTTCAATCGTTGATGTCCATCTCCATCTGGGTTTCGTGCGATTATCGTTATCTTCCATTAGTTCCAGTAATTTTTTTGAAGAATATTTTATTTTTGTGGTAAATTATGTTCTGGGATTTACTTTGCTGGGATAAAAGTCTGAAAAAAAGGGGCTTTATTTTTTTTCTCACTATCCTTTTAAATTATATATTCGGTCCTTGGATTTAGGTGCTGTAAGTTTGTTTTGCTTTCACTTTTCCATCATCTCAGTGATCTGTAGTTGTAAATCCGGCAGAACCCTCTCTTTTCAAAAATCTATATTGACATCCAAAAGTTGTAGAAATTATGTATTTCTTGGGAAGGGATTTCTGGCCCAATTGCAATTGAAATTCTATGCAAATTGCCTATATGCTTAAGAACCTCGTTTTGCCTTTTTTTTGTTTGTTTGTTCTTTTGGCAGTTCCTCTTGTGCGCTTAGAATCAACTATTAATTAACTGTTGTTATGATCTTGTCGTGCATTTGATCTCATCCATACTGTTGTATATCTATCAGGGAAAAATGACAGAGCCGAAACCAGACACACCCTTGATCCCACCATCTTCATCATCATCATCATCATCATCATCATCGCGAAACCTTCCCGACTTCAAAAATTCAGTTAAACTGAAATATGTGAAGCTTGGTTACCATATTCTCATTACCCATGGAATGTACCTCTTTCTTTCCCCTCTTGTTGTCGTTATCGCTGCCCAGATCTCAACATTTTCTCTCCAAGATCTGTATGATCTTTGGGAGCATCTCCAATACAACCTAATTTCGGTGATTATCTGCTCGACTCTCCTTGTTTTCCTATCCACTGTCTACTTTCTCACCCGCCCTCGCCCGGTGTACCTTGTTAACTTTTCCTGCTACAAGCCAGAAGAATCTCGAAAATGCACGAAAAAGATTTTTATGGATCAGTCTCAAATGACTGGTACATTCACAGAGGAGAATCTTCAGTTCCAGCGAAGGATTCTTGAGAGATCTGGCCTTGGGGATTCAACTTACCTTCCAGAGGCTGTACTCAACATTCCTCCAAATCCGTCAATGAAAGAAGCTAGAAAAGAAGCTGAGGCTGTGATGTTTGGTGCCATTGATGAGCTTTTCACTAAGACAGCTGTAAAACCTAAGGACATTGGAATCTTGATTGTGAACTGCAGCTTGTTCAATCCGACCCCATCTCTTTCTGCCATGGTTATCAACCATTACCAGCTTCGAGGGAACATAGTCAGCTATAATCTTGGTGGGATGGGCTGCAGTGCAGGTCTGATCTCAATCGATCTTGCTAAAAATCTTCTTCAGGTGCATCCTAATTCTTATGCATTGGTTATCAGCATGGAGAACATCACATTGAACTGGTACTTTGGAAATGATCGCTCAAAGCTCGTCTCAAATTGCTTATTTCGGATGGGAGGGGCTGCTATATTGCTTTCAAACAAAAGCTCAGACAGAAGACGATCCAAATATCGATTAGTTCACACTGTTCGAACCCACAAGGGTGCTGATGATAAGTGCTTTAGCTGTGTTACCCAAGAAGAAGACTCCAATGGAAAGATTGGTGTTACTTTGTCAAAGGATCTGATGGCAGTAGCAGGTGATGCTTTAAAGACCAACATCACCACATTGGGGCCTCTTGTTCTGCCAATGTCTGAACAGCTGCTTTTCTTTGCTACATTGGTTGGGAGGAAACTTTTCAAAAGGAAGATCAAACCTTACATCCCAGACTTCAGACTAGCTTTTGAGCATTTCTGTATTCATGCTGGAGGAAGAGCCGTATTGGATGAATTGGAGAAGAACCTGCATCTATCTGATTGGCATATGGAGCCATCAAGGATGACACTCCATCGATTTGGAAACACATCGAGCAGTTCTCTCTGGTATGAGTTAGCTTATACAGAAGCCAAGGGAAGGATGAAGAAAGGAGATAGAACATGGCAGATAGCTTTTGGGTCGGGATTCAAGTGTAACAGTGCTGTGTGGAAGGCTCTTAAGAGCATAAATCCAGCAAAAGAAAAGAACCCATGGATGGATGAAATTGATCGGTTCCCCGTAGATGTTCCAAAGGTGTCAACCTTCTAAATTTAATATGGTCTTCCCCATTCTTATGCCACCGCATTTTGGTGGCTTTTGCTAGCTTTCTTTCTTATTGAGGTCTTAGAATTGGTTTTCTTGTTTTGCCGTGTCTGAGGTTCTAGGAATTTGATTGTTTCTTTTAGGACAGGTCTTTGGTGGTTTAGTAGGGTGGAGAGCAGCCAAATTTCACTTATTTACTAAGGGGTGCGGTGGTAGGGAATGTGTGGGGACATTTATTTATTGGTGATTTTAGGACATTAAATTCGAACATTTCGAATTAGGACCTGTATGTTGTAAATCTACTTGGATGTTGGAACTAATTGAATCTACTTGATATATTTGCTTCTGCTCTTACTGCTATAAATCTTGTATGCGTGTACTGGTGCGAGGTTTGTTACAAAATTATCACCACGCATAGAATAGTTGAAAATCACCACCCTGATGACTTTTTAACTGGAATTTTGTGGGGGCTAAAACAATCCTTGTGATCTCTATCTGCCTGGAAGGCATTTTCAAAACTTCATTGTTGGTCAACAATTGCAGATAATATCCCATAAAATTTAGGATAGAGATCCTGTTTGTTACCTACAAGTGTTTCTAGACATCCCCAATGAAAGCAGAGGGGTTCCACTTTATAGCATATAAAAAGTGCACAACCTGAAGATTTAAAGGGCAAATCAGACGCCATCATCAATTGCATTCATGCAGATCATAGTTTGGTACATCTTTCTATAAATGAAAAATATCAACGGGTTGTCTAAATATGTCTTTGATACAGGGATGGCAATACCGCTTGATGACAAGATTCCTAAAAGTAAGCCTACGATTAAATAAAAAATGTCAGATAATGACATACAGAATGAAGAAGATTAAGCAGCGGAAACAGCAAACTAAGCACGTAACTGAAGTCACTGGGAGACTCTGTTCCTTGAAGAAATTTGGCATTCCTCTGCAGCTATAGTCCATCTGTTAACTATTCCTTGGTCGATTTGTTGATTAGTGACTTGTGAATGTGAGGGATCACACCTCCACCAGCAATGGTTCCTTTGATCAGGGTATCAAGTTCTTCATCACCACGAATAGCAAGCTGCAAATGCCTGGGAGTGATACGTTTCACCTTCAGATCCTTGCTCGCATTGCCTGCCAACTCTAACACCTCAGCAGTCAGATACTCCAAGATAGCTGCAGAATAAACCGCAGCAGTCGCTCCCACTCTCCCATTAGCGGTGGTCCTTTGCTTCAAGAGGCGGTGGATCCGACCCACCGGGAACTAGAAATACATAATACGTTAGTAAATGGATGAACATCCAGCAACAAACTTTCCAGTCTCTAGTTTTAGAGATTCAATAAATAAAAAATTGAGACCATTACCAGCAACTACTATTATTCTAGACAATGGGAATGTGGGGATAAAACAAAAAGAAGAAAGACATAGAATACAGAACAGGTTTACAATCCAAATAAACCACTGGGAAAAAAAAAAGATGGGTGCCAGCATCATATGTGGTAAATTCAAACAAACTATTCACTAGGAACAAGGTCGCATCCCTGCTCACCACCCAGAAAAAAATTCCAAAGAACATAATTCTGAACATTTATTCACCAAGGCCAACTATTACCATCAAAGAAACCTAGGATACAAACTTATGGACAACTGAGAGAGAAAGAGACTCCAAAGCATCACGAAAGAAACTATAAATTCATACGCAAAATCTTAAAACGTGTCTTATAATAAGTTATTTTCGGTTATGTTTTCCTTAGAAGTTAGAATTGTCAAGGTGTGGGCCAACTATTGGTTTTATATTTCAAGACCCCTCACGCGTGGAACTTTCTCCACTACCAGAGAGCCCAACATATGGAATTGAACATAGATTGACAGGTCGCAGTTGCTGGTATATAAACTCAGAATCTCCCCACTCTAATACCACCATCAGTTTTGTTGAATTTACCACTATTGCTACAAATTAAGATGTTTGAAAGTGAGTTAAAACTATTTTTATATTCTAATATATTGTATAACTTAAGCCAAGAGCACGAATATTTCTATTAAATCTAATACCAATTAATGTAGTGATTAAGCTAAGCCAGTTGTTTGTATTGTCATCTGTGGGAAGGCATAAGGTCTCAAAAGAACATGTTCTCAGACACATTCTCCAAGCCAACCAGGTAACAACTAAACCATGAAGGGCAAACTGTGCATTCTAGATTCTGACACTCCCATCTTATTGAAACATATTTCTCCCCAAAACAATCTTAAATGGAAAACCACCAAAGATATTATTAAAACCATTGTTTTTCCCCATCATTGTAAACAAAAAACAAAAAAATCACCTCCTTTGGTTGCTCAGACAACCGAGATGTAACACCAGTCATCACTACATCAATTTTGTTCCCAAAATATGAAAAGCACAGTCAAGTTAGGCCTAACAGTTTTAGTGAGTAGCATTCGGAACTTTATCTTGTTTTTATCACCAAATGAAGCAAAGCCCACGGCTAATATTGTCCCAGCTCCAAATAGAAAGCTATCTTCTTTATTCTTTATTTATTGAATGTTTCATAGATTTAACCCAAAAAGTCATCCTAAAGAAGCAAAACCCAGATAGTTCTAGAACCCAAAAATGAAAAGAAGAAATTGAAAACGAGAAAGAAGTAAAAACCTGAAGCCCAGCACGAGAGGAACGAGAGATGGGTTTCTTCTTGTCCTTGTCTTTGTTGCTGTTGCTGGCACTCTTGCCCATTATCAGACCCTTCGCGCCCTTCCCCGACATCTTTTCCCGCGAAAAAGCAAAAGGATTTTTGGTAGGGTTTTACTTATGGGGTAGATATTAATCAGATAACATATAATATATGATTTAATTGGAAAAAGAATCAAAGATGATGCGCTCTTAGAGCACTCTCTTCTCTGGTCTCTCGCAACACCAACACAGACAGCCAAAGAGACGGTCGCGATTCGCAAATGGTCGGCCAGAGTTTGGACGCCTACTTATTCAAGCCCACTTTGACTAAACTAACCCTCGTACTTTTTTCAATTTACGATACTGGTACCCCTGGTTGTTTTTTTCTTTTTGTTTATATACATTGGCCTTTCCTATTTAAGATAAATTTTTATTAATGTCTTCGAATTCTTTTCCAACACAAAAATGTATCAGTTTTTAAATATCAAAATGTAACATTTATCTCAGAACATGACCAAACCAGTCATTTTCTCCCAACATTTGATATTTTTATTTTTCTCAAGTTTCTTCAAGTACAAAACCAATTTTAGAAATCCACAAGCGTGAGTAAAATGCGAAAATCAGAAGATGTTGAAAATGAAGCAGGGAAGAAGAAAATACAAAATTCCAGGCTTGTCGTACACAAAATAGATGTATATAACAGAAAAAGGGGCGCAGCACTCAACTTTATAGGTAATCTGAATATCCAGAAAACAAATCATTTCTCCAGTCGATATCCCAGCAGCAACGAAACAGTGAACTAAAAAGTTGTACAAAAATTCTTGTTTAGTCTCTGTCTATATAATGAAGTAATCAAACTAGGATAGCTCTGAACTATGATGACAGGCATGGCTATTATACTCTGGACCAGCCAGTCACTCATTCCCTGCCTCTTCCTTCTCTTTCGATTTCCCCTCTTCTGCAATGTGGAAGCCCTCGATCTTTCGAGAAACCTCTTCTGCAGGTACCTTCACCTTTCCATTTGCTGCCAGTGCCTCGGTTTCGTCTTGAGTCAAGGGGCCAGTCTGCCATATTCTAATGGTACCATCTTCAGATCCTGAGGCATATGATTCTCCTCCTGGCGAGAAACGCAAACAGTGAACAGGACCATGGTGACCCTTGTTGCATGCTGCATCCAGATACATTTGGATTAATTGAGAATTTGGAGTTAGAAACCCCACACAAGATACAAGGATCATAACAGCACCAGACAGAACGTAGAAATTTAACCTACATGGACTATGACTAAAAGCAGCCATATTGCCTAACTAGTAGTCTATTACAATTAAATCCTGCCTTTACCATGGTTTAAGGAAGCTTTAAGAAATGTTTTGTTTAGTTGATATTGCCAGACAACATGTCTTATTCCCCCAATAAAATTCACTTAAAAGGATTATTGTTTTGGAGCACATACCGATCTCATCACCAGTATGGAAATCAAATACATGAACCCACATATCTTCTCCCCCAGCAATGAACTTGTTCCCAAACTTTGGTTCCAGTGAAGCTGATTCTACTGTGCACGGAATGTTGTAGCTCTTCACCAACCCAAAGCTGGAATCAAGTAAAATATCATAAGTCATCCAAGCAGAAACTCTGCCAAAATACAGAACAATCAAACTCATAACTTACTAGTTTGCATCCCAAAACTTCACAGTAGACCCATCAGCAGTTGTGATATAACGACCATCTTGACTCACTTCGGAACTGGTCACAGATGATTTGGTCTCAAGTGTTTGGACTATTTTACCAGTTCTTACGTCCCATAATCTGTACATTCCCCAGCCACTACCAAGTTTAGTACAGAATACGAAAAACATTATTCTCTTAAATAAATATATGTGTGCACCATAAGAGATTAAAACAAAAATCAAAGAGTAGCTTTAACATCAGATGGTTTCAAAGACGTGCATACCTGACACCTCCCATATCAGTGCAAGAACTTAGTATGGTCTGATCACTGTGTAGCCATGCAGCAGTTCTGACTGAACCAGGGGATTTATCCACTTCTCTTGGAGGGGCATCTGGACGATTCAAATCATATATACGGATAACTTTCTCTACTCCTCCAGTAAGCAAAAGGCGTGTATCCTGCTACCATATTAATAAAAATCAAATGAGATTACAAAAGTACATAATAATAAAAAAAGAAAAAAAAGGGGCGTACCATAATCTAATGTTGTCAGCACCAATTAACCAGTTTTCACAAGCACTGAATGATTCCAGCATGACATCTCAGATACTTTTGAAATTTGAACCAAGAGTAACTAGTTTGGAGGCCAAATACCTTTAAAAAAACTTAAAACGTTGATACCTTACAAGTTACAACTGAGCTTGGTAGGTGAAATATCCAAAAGTCTAGCATTTATATTAGAAGTCCCCTCTTACCCCAGGATAACACCAACCACAATAAGAAAACATTTCAAACTCAAAAGTTAAGCAGATAGCTACTTCAAGTGGGTATGATTTAGAATATAGTGAAATATAAACATCACATATCACATTTAGCTTGAAGCCAGAAACCAACATAGCAGATAAGATCTTTGAAATGGAAATTAGAATCTTTTGTATGCTCATTGCACTTAAATAGAACTCTAGTTCGATGATGATGACAGAAGAACCCACCTCTGAGAAAG